TTGGTTTTAAGAATATTAAACTTGTTTCGCAAAATTCAGATGATAAAAACAACTTTTAAGTTTGTAAAGGCATAATTACAAGAGGCAACTCAACAGTACAGCAGGCATAACGACAGCCGGTGTTTCTTGTGAGGGTTTCCCCGGGAAACAAACACAATACACACAAATGCGTCACAGATTATTTCGCGGTATTTGAAATAATCTACGCAGCTCGCGACGTAACTAGGAGTCTAATGGACGGTATCAGTAAAAGTAAAATATTTTTAAATATTATTTTTTTAATTAATTACGTTGTTTATAAATGAATCTGAGGGCCGCAAAAAGAGGAGGTGGGGGCCGCATGCGGCCCGCGGGCCGCCATCCCTGATCTAGATCATATTGAGCACACTTGAAGGAATATCATGATATAAAAATATATAAAATAGAGGATTAATTAGTCTCAAATGTCTAACATCATGCAGACCGTAATACATTTTAGACCAGAGGGTGTCAGTGTTGCGCACTATTTGTGTCCGTTATGTTGAAGCGTTCAGACCATGCACTGTGTGTGTGTGTGTGTGTGTGTGTGTGTGTGGTGTGTGTGTGTGTGTGTGTGTGTGTGTGTGTGTGTGTGTGTGTGTGTGTGTGTGTGTGTGTGTGTGTGTGTGTGTGTGTGTGTGTGTGTGTGTGTGTGTGTGTGTGTGTGTGTGTGTGTGTGTGTGAGAGAGTGAGTGAGTGTGAGTGGACGCTCTGTGCCTATGGCAGGATAAATCCACCCTTTCCTGATGATAATCCCTGTAGAATGTTACGTAACATCGGCATGCAGACTGACATATATGCATGTCTATTTAATGTTGCTCACGCATTAGAATTTATTATTGTAAAAAACGTCACTTATTAATTGTTGGTCCCATGATGTTATGTTTTATGTCTCCTTGGTGGTTAGGGACATTGCTTGCCTGTAGTCTTTGTGAGCAGGGTTCACAGAGGTCATAGCTAACATACTCATGTTTTTTGCTTCTGTGTTTGTGTGTGCACACTGCTGTGATATGGTTGTACAATTTAAATCAGTTTAATAAACTACAGAGCTGCAGGGCCTGCTTTTTTGAAGATTTACAGGCTACAGTTCAACAATGTCACAAAGCACATAGGACCAGCAGAGCATTACACTGAGACGGCAATCATTAAATGTCCAATCCATCCTTCCTGGTATATAATTCACATACAGAATCGTTTAAAAAACAAAACAATTTGGTAGGTCAAGTTATGTGTGGGTATTTTTCCAGAATCAAAGTCAGACTTTACTTTCATATTACATGAGCACAAGGAATGTGTCTGTTATATTTACAATTACTATTGCGTTAAGCGAATTGTTGTTGCTATGCTTTAAATCACATTTTAACCCTGCGATGCATAAGTGGGTCCTTTTGGGCCCGGTGAGGTGGTTTTCTTGAAGTATCTTTGTAATTACATTTTTTTATCATTTCATATTCCAGCTATTCCTCAAAAAACATGTTTTGGATATCATGCCATTCACATTTTAAATTTAAATTTTAAGAAATTTAAGAAAGCAAAGTGGGTCAAAAATTACCCGCATGCATTTTCTATGGAATCCTATGGGAACCTTTGATTCTTACCACCTGTTGCTGTCAGGACTACATTAACTGTAGACCACACAGACTACATCACAAGTGACACCTGTCAGGAAGATTATTTTACACAGCAAGATCTGATACCTGTCAGTATAATAATAATACATTATATTTTTATAGGGCTTTTCAAGGACTCAAAATCGCTTTACAATACAAGGGAAGTTTAGGGTGGGGGGTATAGGACTATCAAACTTGATCAACCGGCATGGATTGATGGGGGGGGGGGGCTATGAGTAGATAAGAGGAGAAGAGATGAGTTTTGAAAAGGGACTGGAATACTGTGAGGGACTCAGAATAGCGGAGATCTTTGGGACAATATGTTCAAAACGTTTTTTTCAAAATGTAAAAAAAATGTCTAAAATTATAAATTGTGTAAAATTAAACATTAAATATTTCTAATGTGAACCAAAATATAATACAAAATATTAAACAAGTGATTTTTCTTAACCAAAATGACATAAAAACACATATTATTCTAATACGGGTTCTTTTATGGAAAAGGACTTATGGAAGAGTGTATAGGGTCCAGTCACTCGTGCATCTAAATGAATGAATTATAGAGCAATAACAGGTTTCATTATTTTTTGTATTGTTGGTGGTGAGGTTAGCCTTTGGTTTACATGAATCCCAGACTATGCGTTTAACTTTGACAGAACCAATGGGAACACTGTGGCCAGTTTTGATCTGTGTTTGTTTTCCAAGCAGTTTCGGGTCAGGGCCTCTGTAGTAGATTGTAGAAGTGGGACCATTCACCTTCTGCACCATCTGACAAGCGTTTATCCCTGCCGACACAAACACTGTTAACTGCACCTAAAAGTCTTGAGCCAAAGTTTTTATAAAAATACCAACGTTGTGAAAACGTACTGTATGTCAGTGGAGTCATCTAGAAAGAGCTGAGGGAATCATATCATCATGTCTGTATGAGCGCAGTGTTCATGAGTAGACGAAGTGAGAACTGTTTTTTCCTGCGGTTTTGATTGGCACCTTGTTTTTTAAACGCGGAGTTCTGCACATAGTTCCACAGATATATAACTGTGCCCCAACAGGCCCTCTTTCTGACACATAGTTTATTTAACTTCTGCCAAAAAGTGATGAAAAGCAGAGAGGGAGTGAGTGTGGCAAGTAGCTTACAGATAAGGGCCCAGCATCAGAAACTATGTTGAGAGGGGTTTAGGGTTACAAATGTTAAGAGAAGATACTCCGTGTTCTGCTAAGCAAGTCAATGTATGGAGGTGTCACTCCATAGTTCTTTCTTTTTTTTTACAATATGTTCCATAAAACAAAACAAGCAAACAATATCTTAGTCTGTCTCCTAAGGTTTTTGGTGCCCATGTTCCTTCTGCAGACTTAAGTCCTGTAGAGCAGGACACACATAGTTTTGTTTTTAAAAAGGCTTGGTTTCTAAAACAACTGTTCACTGGAGCGTTCAGCAAATATTACTCAAAGTAAATAGTATTTGTGCAGGAATAATTGCAGTCTCGGTTAATACACATTTGAACAGCTAGTTATTTCTGTACTGCACTAGGACAGTGTATGTGCAATTTGACTGGAAATAAGCTACAATGACATGTTCATTGTAATAAAGGAACATGACAGTGTGGCTCATTGAGGTGTTTTCCATTGTTTAAAGTATGTTGCACAGAGGAATTTATTTCATGCTTTGGCTGGAGGTTCAATTAATTGATGGGTTGCATCTTTGTTTGTATCAGGCCATTTTTTGTGTTGAATATAATTACGTCACTCTGAAAGCAGGTTAAGCTTTCATTCCCAATTGTTTATTGTGTCTAGAGCAGTGGTTCCCAACCTTTTTGTGCCCAAGGCACACCAAAGGACAAGTAAAAATCTCAAGGCACACCTATTGTGCAAAATAGCCCTTATAACACGTGTTATCACTCATATCATGTCAAATATCTGTAAATGTGCATAATTATTTACTAATGCCAAATAAAATGTGACAAAGACAACTATATTACTCATGAAATATTTATTAACGAAATATTTCAGAAATTAATTTGAAACTTTATCAAATTAGGCTTCATCAAAGCAGCAACACACTCATTTAAACCAGACAGGTCACAACATTAAAAATGAGGCAAAGGAAACTCAGCAGAAATTCAGCACAGAGAACTGTCAATGCAAGGAAGCTGCATTGTCCATGGTCCTGAACTACAAATTATAAATGTAACATTTCAGCAATCAGCATTGAAACATGTGCTATTGTAAATATTTTGCCGACTTACAAATTAGTGAGATACATGTGCCTGTCGGGGCGCGCAGAATTTTTTAATCCTTGGTGGCACTGAGGAGAGGGCCATTCGCAAGTCCTGTTCAACAGAGCCGTGGCCTCCTGTTGTTCTTCATGTAAATCAGAGTAGAGAACGCCAACTCCAGAGATGGGGTCGTTACTAAAAAAATGTAATATATTACATATTACTTAAAAAAAAAGGGTAACACTTTACAATAAGGTACACAAAATGTGCTGAGTTACTGAGGAACTACTAGATAGTTAATGGTTAGTTAATGAGTAGTTCCTCAGTGACTGCGATTGAGGAACTGATGGTTAGTTACTGGTAAACAGACTGGGGGTACTGTATTAACGAATCATTCGTTAATGGTTAGTTAATGAGTAGTTCCTCAGTGAACTTATGGTTAGTTACTGGTAAACAGACTGGGGGGTACTGTATTAATGAATCATTCGTTAATGGTTACTTTATGAGGAGTTCCTGGGAGACTTTGATTGAAGCAATGGTCCGCTGCAGCAGGGCACATTTAAACCTGCCATCTTCGGCTGGCTTGGGTCCCACCCTGGATCAACTGGTGGAGGTGGATCCGATTTACCTTACCATTACTTAGGCCGTTTGGGTATGGTAAACTCAAGGAACGCAAACAAAAACAGTAGTTACCCATTACCTAATGATTACCTTACCGTTACTAAAACAGTAGTTACCCATTAAGTAATGCTTACCTTACCATTCGTTAAGCAGTGTGTGTCCCCTCAAGTAAAGTAATGCATCAAAAACAGTAGTTACCCATTACCTAATGATTACCTTACCGTTACTAAAACAGTAGTTACCCATTAAGTAATGCTTACTTAACCATTCGTTAAGCATTGTGTGTCCCCTCAAGTAAAGTAATGCATCAAAAACAGTAGTTACCCATTACCTAATGATTACCTCACCATTAGTTAAGCAGTTTAACAAACAAACAAACACTGTTGATGACAATGACGGATCTACAGCCACTGAAGTTTTACATTTTTATTCAAACAACGATGAACATAACAACAACAACAAAAAATGGAAATAAAAAATACTTTTTATAAAAGAAAACTAAAAACAATTGCAAACCAAAAAAACATCCATTCCTTCCTCACTTCCCCTTTGGATTAATGGATAATAATCCTCCATTGGTCTTCAAGTCCTGGACCTTCCCCTCTAAATTTTGGTCCTTTATGGCAGCTTTACATATCTCAGTGAAACGGAGAAGGGTTTCCCCCTTCTTCAGTGTTCCCCGGATATCTTGGTAGATTCCCGGGTTCACGGCATGCAGTTCTGCAATTCCTGCAGTGTCGGCAATGGTTTTGCGGTCCACTCCTACCGCTCTGTAAGCCGCCGTTTTATTATTCCCCTTGTTTACCGCCTCAAGAACACGCTTGTAGCGGCTTATGGCGTCTTCTGGGGTCAGGACTGAAACAGAAAAAAAGACAAATATGTAACTATTTAACAACAGTACTTTGTTGTTGCCTATCCTAATGATGTCTGTAGTGCAGAAATCAGTTTGGATATGGGTTTATTTATTGATAATATTGTTGTACTAGTGTTATATAGTGGTAGTGTAATCCTTACATACAAAATTGTGTAATGAATTGGTGTAGTGTAAAGGTATTACTAGTCGTGTAGCTTTGCTCAAAGTAATGTATTTGTATGTGTTTGGGGTGTATACCTTTATATACAGAAGGTAGGTTTGGGCAATCAGCTCTACTTTTATCCAATCATGTTTAATAATGATAACTGATAAGACGATCCACAATGTGGATTTAACGCTCTATCGACATTGCCCCGTTTCTAATTTATAACGCATCAATATTGCCAAGTTTTAGCCTGGCATCCTCATGTCTCAGCAGCCTTTAAATGGAACAGTTTGGAGAATCTGCTCTCCCTGTTCTTTTATTAAAATCTGACACTGCAGGTTAATGTAAGCGTGCAGAGACCAGTTGTTTGGAAACACTGGTGTCGCTCTGAACAGAGCGACATCACAGCATGTTCTGTTTAACATTATAGGCCTACTTATATTCAGGGATGCAAACACCCGTATGGTGAAATAAGAGAGAACTATTAGAAACAGAAAAAACAGCGTAATATACCATCTGACAAAGGCCTGCGCTATAATGCGTCAATTAACTGGCTATTCTTTATAATATACGGATAGGAGACAGAGATGTTAAGTTACAAATAAAGGGTTTTTATTACTATTTAGATCAGGGGTGGGGAACTTTTTTCTCTCAAGGGCCATTTCAATTTTTACAACTTTCTCCAAGGGCCGTACAAATTATTGAACTCAATTTCTGCTTAAAAATACTAAAACCACAGCCCATTCATTTCACCTTTCTTTCATGCTGTGCAAAGAAAAAGCAACCTCTTAATCCAGATATTTTACCATGACTCATGCATGCATGCATACACGGTTGTGGCTTGACCACCAAAACAGAAAGATATGGACACAAGATGTGTGCAAATTTGTTTTTAAATGTTGAAGTTAAAAGCATCAATCTGGTACACTTTGAGAGCAAAATGAAGAGATCTATGGATACCTCTCTCAACACCCATATGAAACAGAACTGTAAGCAGATTACTCTTTTTCTTTATGGATATTTTACAAATCACTCTCCTTTTAAACTGTATTCTTGTTATTTTAAAAAACGTTTTTGTTACTGTCAAAGTATTTTATACCTGTATACCAAAACTACAACTCTTCGCTTCTCCACGAATTACACAAGTCACCCAAATCAGCGTCAAGGTTAGCCTGTTTTTAACGCAAAAAACAATGCTGTGTTTTGAATATCGGGGCCTTAACACCAGGTACCTCCTACTCAAAATTCCCAGCATCCGTTGAGCAAAAATGGCTGCAGAACCCAGGGTGAGGATGCTCAGAGTACATAGCCCGAATGACACCTCTTTTCCCATGTCCTACGTATCCTGCACAACACAAAAGTGAAAAATCTGATCTACAGAAGGCTGTAAATGTAATAATACATTTGATTTCGATCATTTGTATGTATAATGTTATGAATGATCTGCTATCTTCAATACTATGGTTAAGTGATATTTAAATTAAACTTAAAAAAATCTATATACAGGCTGTCACCATATTTTGGAATTGTGAAAAGACTGGCAAGCCACTTCCCTTATAAGCTTTACAGTTACCTGGATTTTATTCCACCAGCCCTGCAGATATTACACTAGCCTACAAACCTCAATAGGCATGACTCCTAAAATCCCTAAATCTGTTGATTTTTTTTCACACATCTTAGTCCTTCTTCTTAAAGTCCTTAAAGTTTTAGTTTAAAATAGAGATACTTTTTAAATATTGTTCTATAATGATTAAATGTCAGTGAATAACAAAATGTTTAATTATATAACTTTTACATCTCATTTAAAAAAGGTGGTTGCTAACTTGATCAGTGGCATACTGTGACAATAACTGGGACTTCAGCTCAGCCACACTTAGCAGACAGACCAAAAAAGTGTCAACACGGCAAAATATTTAGCTATGGATAAACGGCATACTGTGACAACAGCAGCTGGCTATGGAGTGCAACTGTTGCATGAAATGACGGCAACCACCACACAATTACATTACAATTATAAATATATTAATTTAGAGTTTGTCTTTAACTGTGTGAGACTACTACTGATACTCTCATGGAGCACTAGATAATTGTCTGTTTGGAAGCTGCTTTAATATATTAATGTGAGTCAAAAGTACATTTTACACATATATTCCTGCTTACATGATGTAGTGGGACATCCTGATATTTTTAAGTTGAAAGTGCAATATCCAAATTGCAAGAAGTTGCAATTATTATTTTTCAGCTAAATTTGAGAATACAAAATTATTTCCTTTTTCTTCAGTAAAATCTGGACTTTCACTCTCTCTAGATCTAATCAATTACAGGTGGCAGCCATCTGTAATTTAGGTTACTTTGAAAAAAACAAATGGTGACAGCACTTAATTGTCTAAAGCTAACTGTGAGTGACGTGCACTGATACATTTTTGAGGAAATATAATCTATCTAACAATCTATGTAAGCACTGAAAGCATCTGAAGCAGAAATACAGAACTTATTTATCTATGTCATTGTATGCCAACCTGAACAATCTTTGAATTGCGTTCTGCAAAACTGACAAGACGAAATGCAAAACATGGTGGACATTTCCTCGCGATAGGACTCGGAATGGTGAAACCAATTTGTGTCCACACCTGTAATAAGAAAGTATAAAACAATAAGCCTAAGGTTTAATTTAGCAAGCTTATTGAAATTGAATTTGTAAAATACAATATTTCTTACTCAATATCCACAAAAAGTGTGCCTTTTTCCGGAAAGCGTCCTGGCTGACGGTATTTCTTACTTTCCAACAAACCAGAGAAAGCGTCAAATATGCCATGTCTCCAGCGTCAAGAACTACCTCCAAAAGAATGCTCTGCAGCAATTCTTGCGGTAGCTATGGACATATTTTTTCAAGAACCAGGTTAACAACAGAACTGAATTTCAAAACAAATATTTGTGTATATTTATATATTGATATGCTCCTTCTTCATAACCAACCAAGAGAAGTGGTTACCTTAAGAATCCAGCAACATGTCTTTCTTGTGTCCACCATATTTTTTGGGCGCTCAGCTCTTTTATTGAATCCAACCACTTAAAAACACAAAAACAACCAGAAGATGATGCAGGGCTGGCTAAACTTTACTCTAGTTATGGTTGGGCTGATGGACAATGACATCGTGCATCAGCCATGTATGACAGCCATCGCCGTTGGATACCTGACCATCATCACATCATGAGTTAATAAGGCGCCCTCCCCTCCCTGCCCCACAAGAACGGGTAGAGTTTCCGTTTCGGAACAGTTAACTGCGGTACTCACATTACTTTAAACAGCCATAAAGTGGGAGGATAAGCTCAGGTTGATGTATAATAGTTAAACAGCTGACTCCATTATTGTAACACCTATTACAGCAGAAATAAACAAAAAAGCATTGGTAAATGAAGCGCAGAGTTTAGTTTGAGCCGTGGTCCCGGAGCTGATCAAGCACCGCCGCAGAGGACATCGTCTATGTCCAGTTGGGTACACATCGCCCAATTGTAACTTGAACATTTGTTGAAATTAAAGACTTAATGCATACTAAAAGTATTTATTGAGCTGTAAAATACATTGTACGACTGTACTTCAACACCAGACTGCATTCGTTCCCTTAATGATCCCCTTGATGATAACACGCTAAGGCATGTAGCGACACTCCCTCACTAATTAAGTTTAATGTACTTTAAGTGCATGAGCAAATCCGTTTCAGTTTAGTGTTTTCAGTATGAACACAAACAGTCTGACAGCACCTGCTAATGCAGGTTAGCCCTGTTCACTAGCTGTTCCTTCTACACTGAGCAATGGTCAGTCTGTCACATAATTCACTGTAGTCCTACCTCCTTACTTCCCAAGTCAGACACTGTGTAGGTGGCCAACGTACCTCTCTTTGCAGTCTTTCCTTTTGTCTTCTTCGCTTTTTTTCCTCTTTTTTTCTTGCCGTATTTGTTTTTCTTGTTCTTCTTCTTCTTACTCTTCCTCTTCTTCCCTCTGTCTGACGAAGAGGATGAGGAGGAGGAGGAGGAGGAGGAGGAGGAGGAACTGGAGGAATTGGAGGAGGTGGAGGATGAAGAGGAGTTGCCTGCCCCTATTTGGTCACCTTCAGAAGTAACTGGCGCCTTAACTGATGCCATTTTTAGAAGGGCCAAAGCTGAAACAAACAAGAGGATTAGAAGATAACTATTGTTACCACTAAGGGTCAGAACATTTACAATAATCTTTAAACCTTATATTGTGTGTTCAGAGTTTCACGCAGATCGGTGAAAATTCATATAGTGTTTTTCACTACATTTGAAATAGTGAAAAATATCGTGACCTGAAATGTTAGGTAAGTGAAACAATTTGTTCTTTAGGATTTATGGAATATGTGAGATAATTTTCATGACTCTAGTTCAAACGGGGCATGTGATATGCCTGTTCCAAGTTTCCCCCGAACAAACGGACTCAACATATTTTAACAAGTGACTGTTCTTTCCCTCTCAATCCAACCCTGTCGGTTGATAAGTGAGAGAAGTGAGCTGGAGCCTGATCTGTCAAGCTCCACCCCACCATTTGGTGCTGTCCGTCCTATATGCTTGTCATGATATGTTTGCAGTGAAATGACTGAATTGCTGATGCAACTAGTCATCTGCAAGCATGTATGGCCTCATGGACTGTGATGAGAAATGTTGTAGGGCTTGGTGTATGTGCCTGTTTTTTTTGTTTTTTTTCTCAAAAGCTATCAGATGCCAATAAGTAATTATTTAATCATTATTGATTTGCTTACCCTCAGCCAGCTGTATCCTCAGATAGTCCCTTTCGCTTTCAACAGTTAATAATTTGTCCTTTGAAGCATCTAGCCTTATTTTCAAGGCATTATTATCTCTGTTTCTGCGCTTCAGAGCTGCTATGGCTGTGGGAGCTGCAGAAACATCTGTAATGACAAAAACGGCAAAAAAACCAACATTATCTTTTCTGTAGTTATTACACAAACAGTATGTATAGGCAGATTGTGGTTCCATGCCTTTGTTTAGCGTTTTCAAAAAATGTACAATAAAATGTCAAAATTATAGATCTAGGACCGCCTGTATTGTCGTGAAGTTGCAGACATGAAGCTTAGCGCAAGTTCAAGAAGGAAGACCATACCCCCTGGTGTTACACGTCACTGCAAGCTCTTCTCCCATTAAGTAATCAGGGGCGGTACTCCCCAGCTAGCAATCATTGCACCTGCTAAACCCTTTAAATCTGCTCTTCCCTCTCTGTCAGTTGTCATTTCAGGTGTCAACGCACAACCCGCCTCCACCCCTTCGCCTCCTGTCTCCTAATTCAGGGCCAAGCTAATCCTTCTTCCTCCAGACCAGACCGAACCATTATCACCACCACCAGTGTCTAGACCCCGGGGGGTTCATCGGAGCGGTTTTCCCCTCCTGAATGATATCCTACAAACCGGGGCCTAATCTCCAAACATCAGTTGATTCATTGTTGTAATCTGTCAATCATAATTTTCTATACCACGTGTCCGGTATTAAACATGTATTTCATACATCACGTCTCTCATGATTGAAATGTCATTGATCACATTTAATAGAGACTGTTGAATTCTATATTGGGACTTGCAACTGCATTTAAACACTGCAAAACCTATGATAATACATTACAAAACATTACTATATTCACTTCAAGGCAACTGTAAGATCATTGATTCTGACAGGGGCTTCACAAGTAATTGCAAAAAATAACTTCAACTTTTAATATGCACTCAACCACACAGAAGTAAAATGGGCTCTAGTACATTTGCACAAGCGTTTACATTTTCGTTATGTAATATTTTCTTGTTCTAGTGTATTGTGCGATATTATATATATATATATAAAGATAACACAATCAAAAAACAGTAACCGTAGATAAAATGTAAATGTAATGCAATGTCACAACACAACCTAACCTTTAGTTGATGCTTTAATAGTAGACTGCTGTCCTGTGAATGCATCCGAGTCAGACCCATCACTGCAGTGCACTACAGCTTTAAGAGGGGAGACAGAAAGTTCATAAATTAGAAATAGTGTTGACAAAATGGTACATATAGCGATAGGGAATATTTGAAATTGTGTAAAGGTCCAAAATGCCAAATTAGACCAAAAAAACATGGATGTCGTCCAAACCACTATCTGCCCACCCTGACCTCTACCACCAACAAAGGTATGGCAAAGCACAGTGGAAGAATCTCCTCAACACAGGAGATAACAAGGGGCTTCACTTTGTGCATGTGACATCTTTAATCCACTATACGTTTACATATTGTTTTTTTTTTACTGCTATCTGCTAAGCAACTACTTATTAGTACACCATCTGAGACTGAGTGGATCCTTAAAGTATGCTTAACATTTGAAAGCAAACACTTACCCATTTCCTTTGCCACAGTGTGGGAGCTGCATGGCTCTTCCTCAGACTGACCACTGACAGCCAAATATGTATCCGCTGTAAGATTATGGAGCACAGAAAGAGTTGTTGATGTAGAGAGCATTACTATATGGAAGTATGTTTTGTTTTTTTTCAGCTATATTATAACTTCATTGGAACTATTTCAAAATTGGATATCTGAAAAGCCACTCTTGAATGAATGTATGAATGTACTGTTTTTAATTATATTTTCATTACATATCGCCCAATGCTGTGTTAAAATCAAAATACTCTCGTTTCTAGCGCCCTAATGTCATTTACTTATTTAAGAGTTAAGATAAAACGTTAAACCTTCGTAATTGAGATATTTCAGTTTATTTGACGATTTAACTAATTTAACCCATAACAACCCAGACCCATTTCTACTTTTGGGGAAATTAAGGGGAACATAATTTAGACTAAATAGACCACATTTCTGACAATGTGACATTGAACTTTAATGGTAAAGTAACTCTTATTTATAACTTAATTAATGAGGAGGATTTTTTGATTTAAATTTGTTTTAACATTCTTTGAATTGAAGAATAAAGAATATATTAACTAAATATAATTGGATCACCTAAATTAACTGAGCAGATCATACTCATATTTCTAATTGTGACATATGTGTTACTCCAGATTTACTGTGAAAGTTTAAGGTTAATGTCCCGATGTGACATCAGTGTCACAGCGATATTTATCTAATTTGTTTCATATCAATTTGATCAAGACATGTTAACAGGTTCAATGTAACAAAGTACATGTTATGTAAGCATTTTAATTCTTAAATGGCTTGATTTGTACCTTTAGCAACCAAAAACAAGCCTCTGAAATGTACCTAGTTCTGTCACATGTCTTAGCCCGGCACATGACCCACCAGACTTTTCAGGGTGTGTCACTTAAGGACTTTATGAGATAAAAACAAGTCTAAAGCTGTATAAGGAACTTTACAAAACATTTAAATGTCATGTAAGCGCTTTGAGCTCCAGCAAGGGGCTTTATAAATGTAATGTATTATTATTATTATTATTATTATTATTATTATGTAACACGTGGGTCCTCGTGGTTTAGCTAGCAACCTCAAATCAGATAGCACAGAACAAAAAGTGTAATAACATGTGTCAATTGAGATGATTTCGCGATGCAGTGTTACTGATTTCTGAAATGACAAAAATAAATTTCAATTCATACTTACATTCTGACACTAAACGCTTAGGGGGCCCCATCCTCTTTCGCTTGCTTCTCCTCGAGTCCATTTTCAGTTCTAAGCGTGTAGACTAGAGCATAGACTAGTGTACATATAAGATGGAAAGGTTGAGTTTGATCCATAGACTGTATATATAAAGGTTTTATCACTAGCCGAGATGCACGTGACAGGCTCATGGCCAATCGTAGCACTTGAATGCTATGAAGGGGCGTGTCTTGCATAGTGCTCCAGCCGGATCCCGATTTGCAGCGTATTAACACTTTATTACGGTTTTAATATTTTAATTGTATATCAGTGAATATAAAGAAGCTGTGCTTTGTCAATTGAACAAGGAAGATGAAATACCTGATTCAAAATATAAAAACTATTGGTTTGAATCGTGTGAACAAGAAATGAGGATCAGGGTGCTTGGGCGCTAGTGCGCTCAGCGGAGTTCCACTTCCGGTCTGGCCCAGCGGCAGCACATCTTGAACTACGCTGGGTGTTAGGTTTTGTGGACGGGCCGGGGCCGCAGTAACGCAGTAGTAACGCCGCAGTCAGGTTATAGGTTATCATGATGACACTGCACACCAAAGTACTCAGTCTTATTGACGGAAGACAGACTTTTAAAAAAAGGAAAAAATTAATTGAATGGCTAATGAAAAAGGAATTGCTTCAAGGAAAAATGAAATGCAAACTCTGCAAAAAGAGGATGAAACTGGAGAAACACTCAAACGTCGACGGACTGCAGTGGTAGGCTAAGTCGTACATTTTTAGCATGGGTTTTAACGATGACTTCCTCTGTTTACTGATATGTAATGTTACAAAGACAAGTTCTTTATCAGGAAAAAAGGACTAGGAATTTACGATTTGTCTTTTGTAGGAAGTGCCGACGTAAAAAACACCGAGGGAAAACGACGAAGAAGTCAGTGAGGTCTTTGTCCCTGTTTCAGAGGAGCAAATTGTCCTTGTTCAGCTGGATGAAATACATTTACAGGTAATATTAATTCATCAATAATATCAGTCATTTCCTCAAAGCACAGCAAATGAATGCCTGTAAGTATTACGTTTATTTTAAGCATGTTGACTGTTGTTTAACATTACCGATATCTAAATGCTAATTTCAGTTAGCGCGTCAATGACGTTATCCATTATATGTTAGCATTGAGCTAGCGGACCAAGCGCTAGTTATTTGGCAATTCACAACGCAGGCTGCTTGGAGGTGTGGCGGGGCACAATGGCGCCGCTTTCACACCAAGCCCCCAGGAAGTGCGCCGGACTCTGAGGAGAACATTCGAGAGTTATTTCCCTCGGCATTATGAACGCGCATCCAACCCACGGGACCGCGCCGCCCGGCACCTTCATGTTACGTGTTCTGTACTACATGCGTTTTAGCCTTAACCATAGACTGTATATATAAAGGTTTTACCTTTACCCATGGATGCACAATAAGAACGGACCCGTATCGCCTTGCCGTTCGGGTGTTCAGAGCAGAGCTCCCTGTTGGAGCGGCAGAGCGTGATGTGAACAGAAAAATGTTTCTGTCGCAATATTATTTAAAGAATCGTTGAGCTAGCTAACTAGCATACATTGTCACTATCTGCTAACATTAGCTTTAGCTTTCGTTTTCTAATAGTTTTTCTCATAGGCTATAAACAGAATAGATCTTGTACTTGAGTAAAAGTAGAAATACTCAGATATTGTACTTGAGTAAAACAGAAGTACTCAGATATTGCACTTGACTATAAGTACTCAGATCTTGTATTAGAGTAAAAGTAGAAGTACCAGAGTGTACGAATACTCTGTTACAGTAAAATTCCTGCATTCAAAATGTTCCTCAACCAAAAAATGGGTTCAGAACGTTACAATGTGTGATTATTCTAATAGCTTAAAAATACATGTGTAGATGCTCTGATACAGGGAAACTTGATAGATAAAATTAATTAGCAACATTAAAATATTCTGTTTCATCTTGAGTAATAACAAATGTCTAATGTGAATTATAATTATACATTAGCCACTGGTGCTGAATGCGTTCTTCTTCATATGCTTTTGTTCATATTAAGTCATTCTATATTGATCTTTAACAGATTTTCCCAGGGACTGCAGCTAAGGCAAATTGACTTGCTGCAGGATGGCGTGGCAGGAAGCAGTCGCACGCTGTCAAAAATTAGCCTGAAGTTGAGGAAGGTCTGCAAGAGTGCAATCAAGAGGAGAGAAAGGAGGGGAAAGCAGAGACTTGGAGGACCAAACGAATTTGTCATGCTGGACGAAAGCAACTTCTACCACAAAAGGAAGGTGTGTATAAACTACAGAGCCTTAGCCTTTGGCCTCACTAAAACTAAAACCTTTGTTTTTCAAGGTGAAATAACAACATATATTTTAAGGTCAGAGATTAACAAATGAATGAGCAAAGTAATGTAATTTTATAATTGTGTCATTCACACCCTTGTGACTGGCGAGACAAAGTATACATTAGAGAGAGCCAGCTCCACAGTGTATACACAGTCAAATAACAGAAAAAAAGGATTTAGAAGCTAAGAATTATCTCATCCAATCAGATCATTAAAGATGGGGTAGGTAAGTTTCAGAAACCGGCTCGAGATACACTTTTTGTTATATTCCATGGAATGCTCTTAACATCCCGATAGCAATGAATATCTTAAGTGCTTTGACAACAAATTCATAAAAAACGTCATCTGTGGAAGCCGTAGTACTGTAAAAAGTACAACCACAAACTTATCTCGTGCCCTCATTGGTCATGTGCGCGTTCGTGTGTGTTGGAGGAGGGGCTCTGTAAGGAAGTGGCAGATTTTCTCCGGTTGTGTATTTTCAAATTCTAGCGATCTCGAGCCGGTTTCTCAAACTTACCTACCCCACCTTTAAGGAAATAAATCCTTATTCTTACTTTTTATTACTAACATTTTAAAAGTGCATAATCTTATTTATATATCATCTAATTACAATATCTATCTTACATTTTCATGTTTCTTGCAGCAAAATAAGCAAACTTTAACTTAATAAAATTAAACAGCCTTTTCTGTTTGTACCACTACATTTAAAAAAATGTCTCTTCTTTTTTGAGAAAGGAAGTGAATATTTTTAAATTGTAAAATAAAGTAAATAAACACATTTCACTTTGTTTATCAATTGAAATTCCTGATGTTTATTTTTATATAACTGTGTTGTCCTTTTTCACTGCTTTATTACAGTATGGTAGGGGAAGATTCGGTCCTACGTGGAGGAGGAGAAAATGTGTCTTTGGAATGCTGGGCATCAGAGGAAAAAGGAGAAGACCTATCCTGAGGCTGGTGAAACAAAGATCACGGCGCCACTTAATTCCTCTGGTCACAAAATACGTTCGCCAAGGGACCACGGTGATAACGGACATGTGGAGGGCATACACCACTGTAATCGCAGAAAGTGGCTTTGTCCATTTCTCTGTGAACCACAGCCGGTCATTTGTGAACCCAGACACAGGAGCCCACACCCAAAACATTGAGCGGGCTTGGTCAACGTACAAGTCACAGGTCTGGAGACTGCGAGGAAACCGCACAGTGAAGACTCTGAAGAGTCATCTTGCTTTCATCGAGTGGACACATTGGCTGGCAAATGAACACAAAGATGGTCCCTTAGGCAGATTGCTGCATGACATACGCCACTTTTGCAAGTTCTGATGCAACCTTGTTTTCATTATTAGTGTCCTTTGGATTGTTGTTTAAATAAAAATGTAAACTTGCACAGGGTTTGTTTATTTGTTTACTGCTTAACGAATGGTAAAGTAATCATTAGGTAATGGGTAACTACTGTTTTTGATGCATTACTTTACTTGAGGGGACACACAATGCTTAACGAATGGTTAAGTAGGCATTAGGTAATGGGTAACTACTGTTTTTGATGCATTACTTTACTTGAGGGGACACACAATGCTTAACGAATGGTTAAGTAGGCATTAGGTAATGGGTAACTACTGTTTTTGATGCATTACTTTACTTGAGGGGACACACAATGCTTAACGAATGGTTAAGTAAGCATTACTTAATGGGTAACTACTGTTTTAGTAACGGTAAGGTAATCATTAGGTAATGGGTAACTACTGTTTTTGATGCATTACTTTACTTGAGGGGACACACACTGCTTAACGAATGGTAAGGTAAGCATTACTTAATGGGTAACTACTGTTTTAGTAACGGTAAGGTAATCATTAGGTAATGGGTAACTACTGTTTTTGTTTGCGTTCCTTGAGTTTACCATACCCAAACGGCCTAAGTAATGGTAAGGTAAATCGGATCCACCTCCACCAGTTGATCCAGGGTGGGACCCAAGCCAGCCGAAGATGGCAGGTTTAAATGTGCCCTGCTGCAGCGGACCATTGCTTCAATCAAAGTCTCCCAGGAACTCCTCATAAAGTAACCATTAACGAATGATTCATTAATACAGTACCCCCCAGTCTGTTTACCAGTAACTAACCATCAGTTCACTGAGGAACTACTCATTAACTAACCATTAACGAATGATTCGTTAATACAGTACCCCCAGTCTGTTTACCAGTAACTAACCATCAGTTCCTCAATCGCAGTCACTGAGGAACTACTCATTAACTAACCATTAACTATCTAGTAGTTCCTCAGTAACTAAGCACATTGTGTGTACCTTATTGTAAAGTGTTACCAAAAAAAGTAATATATTACACTACTTCGTTACTATCTACATAAAGTAACTCGTTACTTTACTCGCCGAGCACGTACGAACTGCGCATGCGTGAGTGGCAATAACTTTCCTTACCAGCAGGCGGCGGTAGTGTGTATTTGTCATTCAAAACAGGCAACAACCGGAAGACAGAGATATACATGATATAAACAAAAAAGCATGTGTTCTTTGCAGGTGTTTGTTGAGGTTTGACGTGGTGTTTACAGCAGTGGATAACAGCTTCTGGCCTGGACACAGTTTTCACCTCACCGTCGCATTCCTGTCTAATCTTCGGACGAACTTAAAATAATGGGCATACCTCCACCCCTTGAAAGTTATCGCTGACTCAGCCATGTTTATGCAGCACTGCACGTGGAGATGTGGACGCGCAAGTCGCGCAGATTACGTAGGCCTACATATAAACCTACAAAGTACTGATATAGTAAATGAAAAAGTAATTATTTTTGTGTAGTTGTATATTGCAATAATAACGTATGGTTGTCACAAAATCCCACGGCACACCGGGACTTGCCTCACGGCACACCATTGTGCCGCGGCACACCGTTTGGGAACCACTGGTCTAGATAACTATAATGAGAGCACCAGTGAACACTCTTCCATGCCAAATCATGGAATAATCAAGCACAACATGAGAGCCAAAATAATTTGATGAAGGACGGTCTCAGACAAAATGACTGAGGGGCAACAAAAAGAGCATTGTCCATGTTGTTGAGGACAAACTTCAAAACAAGAGGCTAAACACAATGCCCTGACCTCTGAGGT